AAAAACTCCCAAAAAAAAAAAAAAAAAAAAAGATAAAACTGCCTTTCTTGAAATTAAAAAACATATTAAAAAATACCCATTGGTGGGAACCAGCAGTTAGCGTAATGGCTATGTCGCTGGATTTCCACGTAGTCGACTGCTGTTCGCGTCCCGGACCCGGTGGCTTAGAACTCACGCCAGGCGCGTGTGCGTGCGTGCCCAAGATCCCGAAAGGAGAATGGAGAAGGGGTTGCGGTGTGACCATCCTCCCTGGGGGGTGATTTCTCGCTTTCTGTCTCTCTGTCTCTGTCTGCCTGGCAAACGCACACGCCCTATAGCGAAAACCTCTCAAAAAAAAAAAAAAAGAAAAATACCCATTGGGACCAGCAGTTGACATAATGGCTGTGTCGCTGGACTCCCATGTAGTTAACTGCAGTACGAGTCTCGGACCCAGTGACTTAAACTCACACTGGGTGCATGTGCATGTGCGCCCAAGATCCCGGGAGGAGAAGGGATTGCAACATGGCCATCTCCCCTGTTTGGGATGATTTCTCACTTTCTGTCTCTGCCTCTGTCTTTTTGGTGAGCACACAAGCCCTATAGCAAAAACCTCTCCAAAAAAAAAAATGAATGAATGGGAAATCAGCAAGGGGCATAGTGGTTAGGGCATCAGGCTCCCGTATAGCTGAACCCCATTCCTGGTGACTTGCTGCCTCACTTTCCCCTCTTTGTTTTTCTGTGATGACTACAGCAAGTTTAAAAAAAATAATAATAAATTTTTTAAAATGATAGAATTGGGAGTAAAGGCTAATGGGATGTGTGTATGTGTGTGTGTAAATGTGCACATGCATTAGTGGCTAGTCACACTCTGGATATGACAGACGGCGGTATAGAGAAAAGGCTAGGCACAAAATGCAGTTTGTTAAGCTAAAACACCCCATGAGCCCCGACCAAATGTGGTTAAGAATATTGTAAAAACAAAAATAACTACTACTGTCTGCTTCTGTAAATGACTTTAAAAAGTTGATAAGAAATATGCCCCTCATACTCTTGCAGTTTTACAACCCTTGCAGCCCCCTTCCCAGAAGTCCTTGCAGCCTTTCCTCCCCTGCAACTCCCTTACCACACCTAGGACTCCAACCCTCACACTAACCCTTATTTTCTTCCTTCTCTGAAAACCCCCGCTTGCAGCACCCTTTGCAGACCCTTCCCCCAAATTCAGAAATCCCCTTTGGAAAGCCCTGAAAAGCCCAATCCCCTTGGGGCTTTTGCCTTTACATGCCACATAGCTGTAGCTGTGGGTCAGGGCTGTCATTCCAACTGCTGCCTGTGTGCTGTGGGAGGGTGACAGTCCCTGGCCAGGTTGTCAGTGATCTCAGTCTTCACAGTATCTCAGGCCACAACATGGCCACTCTGACTAACTCTTGAAGTGAAAAGTGATCACACAATGCAGGAAGGAGCCACGCAGCCCTAAGACTGCATGGTGCCGACATGTGTCAGAAATCTCGGGTCAGCATAGGCAGGATCAGGGCTGAACTGCTTCTAAGCAACACGGAGTAGAAAACAGGCCTCCAGATGGGGTGGGCTGGTCAGAGAAGAGCTTTTCCTTTTACTATCTGAGATGGGAAAAAAATCACCTGTTTTTATTTTTTAAGAGAAATTTTTGCTATAGGGCGTGTGCACTGGCCAGGGAGATGGACAAATGCAGGTGTTCAATGTTAGAACTGAGTGATAGCTGCAGGACACCCAGCTGGTAACTTAGGAAACTAGTGGGAGGACAAAAGCAGCTAGAGAAATTCAGAGACAGAAAGTGAAAAATCCCTCCCCAGGGGGGATGGACACACTTAAATCTCTTCGTCTCCATTCTCATCTTGGGATTTGGGCATGCATACACATGTACCCAGTGTGAATTTTAAGCCCCAGGGTCTGGGACTCAAACCATTGACTACATGGGAGTCCAGTGACGGAATCATTATTCCATCCACTGGTCCCAAAACCACCGTTTTCGCTCACAGACTAACACTGACTACCTCATCTGTGTTTGGTAGAATGTGTGCATGGTTTCCCCATCCTGACCATACCTCCGTGGACTCCCAGTGGATGTCCTTCGACGTACCTGAATCCTGACACTGTCTACCAGGAGACAGAGTCAGATCATACAGGTAAGGGCTCAGAGAACTGCCCCTCCCTTCTGATGCTCTACCCAGCTGTCACCTCAGTTCTGAGTAACCACATTGAAATCATGATCCTGGACCAACAGGTGGCTTAGTAAAAGCGCTGGATCACACATGTCCAACTCCGCAGTTCCAGTCCCAGACCCAACAGCCAGAACAACATCCCAGGTGTGAGTGCATGACCAAAATCACAAGAGAATAGAGAAAGGATTGCAGCATGGCCATTTCCCCCACGGGTGCTTTCTCACTTAAGGTAGAGGGAGGTAGGTGGGGTTTACAGCGGACCTTATTGAGGACCTGCCAGTTCTGTGTGAACCAGGGGGTCTGCATTCCTGGTGTCTGTGTCAAGGTCGCACCGGCCATTCTTAAGCAGTGAAGGTCATGCCAGCCATTTTGATGTGGGCGGCTCCCCACATATCCCCCTTCCTTGTTTTATTAAAGACTGGGAACCAGGGGGAGCTGTGCCTGTCTTAGGTTGGAGTTGTTAAGGCCAAATGCATCCTCGATTACCCGTCATTGGAGCAGCCCATAGCAGAGATGGGTGTCCTGTCTTAGGTGGAGGAACAGGCAAGGGTGGCCAAAACTCTCGTACCCGTCATTGGCTAGCCAGCTCAGCACCTCTGGTTAGTGGATGGATAATTTTTGAGATCCTCCATCTCCAGTCTGGTGTAATAGACCTGGATAGGTCGAGAAAGGAGGGATGTTATCTGTTGGCTGATGAACGACTTCAATTTGTTAAAGATGTCTGGGCCTAGCGAACAGACAACCAACAGGCCAACCTGGGCCTAGCGAACAGACAACCAACAGGCCAACAATTGGTCCGAGAAGGGGGAGTATAAAAGGTAGGATCCCATTCCAAACAGTTAGAAGGGAGTTGTCAGCCAGTTGTCGTCTGTGGTTCCTTAGGGCTTCTTGGAGGTCATGGATCTTATCGCGGACAATGCCAGACTTGTTGGCATAAAAGCAGCACCATTCCTGCAAAGTAAGACAAAGATCTCCCTGGTCTGCAAGTAAGAGGTCCAAACCGCTGCGATTTTGTAGAAACACCTCTGTGAGGGAATCTAGCTAATCCTGGATGAGGGAGATAGTGGATGCAAGCTGCTGGACATCAGAGATCAATCCTTCTGTGACCTGTTTATGGTTTTTATAGCTCAAGGCAAGGGGTCTGGCTGATGACCATATCACTAAGTAACATGAAGACAATAGGAATGTAATTACTGTTTACACTTAGTCACAGAGTGAAGTTTCTAGTCACAGGAATGTAGGAGTTTACAATGGAGGTGCTTCTTTAAGATGGAGTCGTTCTTGTTTCATTTTCTGATTTTCTTGGAGGTGCTTCTCTATGATGGGGTCGTTTTTTGGTATACTTGGGCTTTAGGTCTAGAGGCAATTAACATGTAATATTAAAGGCCTTCATTCTGTGGGAGACATATTGGGTAAGAAAACTGAGTAAATAAGAGCAAAAAACAAAATTAGAAGCACGGTGAATATAGCACTTAAAACGGGAGCAAGGACCAAGGAGCCTACTGGTACCAGAGGCCACTCTACTTGGCTCTGGTGTGACAGACTCGCAGGCTAACTTTATAACAATGTGAGGCCCCATCTGGACTAGTTGGAGGGGCTCTTTTTTTTTTACATAAAATTAGCATTAGAGCCATAGTTAATGTTCTGACAAAAATTTATAACTGAGGAATTTGGCTATATATGTCAATTTAACATAATAGTCTACTATTAACTCTTGGGAATTTTAAATTATTTTGGAACACAATATAAGAAAATAAGAATTATTTAATTTGACAATGGTTTTTATTTTTATTTAACAATAAACAATAAGCCTGATTGATTTAATAACTCCCTTTTGGATGTTACAGGGGCCCTCTGTAAACATCCAAAAGTTACTTTGAGGTTAAAGATCCTCTGTTAGCATTGAAGCTGAAGCCAGAAAAAGCTAGTCATAATTTTTTTGTTAGATATTTACTATGTAAAATGTAACATACAACACATAGATACTAGCTGTTTCGTTAAACCAACCATATTAAGATAAACATGATGTTTGATTAATAAAACTTAGACAAAATATATGTTGGAGATTGTGATGAC